TTATTTGACTCATATGTTATATGATTCAAATTTCAAACCTTTTATTTTTTTTGAAAAAAAAATTTATCATTGAATCGTGACCATTCACAATTTTTTATTGAGAAAAAAGTACCATACATTTTTGCTAATAAACAAAACCCACCTGCATCATTCACTAAACACACTTTTTTTTTTTATTTGAATAATTAAGATATTTTTAAATTAATTTTTATATATTTTGAGACTAATTCCTTCCATCAACATCTTTAAAAACATCCTATATTAACTTATTATATTTATAAAAATTAATTTTTTTAAATACTAATCTCCAAACTAATTAAATTCTAAATTTAATTTGTAAAACAACAGTTACTTATCATTGAATTTAACTTGGCTGGATTCCAAACACAATCTTATTATTAGTATTTACATGATTGAGCAGCCTGGTTGAGTTTCTCCACTGCCGCTTCCATACCCGCACCAGCTGTCGTAAATGGGTCTCCCATAACACGGATCGTATGGACCACCAAGCCTTCCGCTGTAGCATTTACAACAACAAAACCCCCAGAGTTGCAGATCTACATGTAGTTTACGCGGAGACGGCGGAGGCTTAGGCTTCTCAGGCGGCTTTGGCTTTACGATCTCAATGCTCTTGATGCATCCACAACCCTTGCAGCATAACTTGTCCCTGATCTTCTCCGGCGAGCAGCTCGATCACCACCTTAATTGTCACCTTGTTTGCCTTCTCATCATACTCCTGATCTCGTATTTCTTTAATTAATTTGTTCACAACACAACGACTCAGTCCACTTGGCTAATCAGTCCATATATTGATATACATATACGTAGACAAATTATATTTAACAAATTATGTATTAATTAATGAGCAAATTAAAATTAGGGTGCATGCCATATATATGCATCAAACCAAAATACATAATTAGATATATATATATATATATATCCTTAATTTTCATCCGAAAGAGAGAGAGAGAGGTATAACGGCCACAGAAAAGAGAGAGAGGAAAAAAAAAAAGGAATAGTATAAATTTAGCACAAACCTCTTCGGCGATAGCTGCTATACGGAGAGAATTAATTAAGGCAAGATAATTTTTTAGAGAAGTTTCTTGACCTTCTTGTAGCATTTTGAGCACTGTAGGTTCACATTCAGCACCATTGTTGTCCCCTGTAAAAGTATGTTTAGATATACAATATATATTATTGAACATCAATCACCATATATATATATATATATATAGGCCATGCATGCATCATTTATTATTAGAGAAGGACTTTTAATTTCTGAAAAAGGATTAATTAAGTGGAAAAAGAAGATTCAGGTTCTGATACTTAAATAACAGATGAGGAAATGGATAAGATCCTTAATTATGAGCAAAATTAGGGCGCCATATGCATCAAATCAAAATACATAACTATATATCCTTTTCATCAACACAGATAGGTATAACAGCCCCATAAGAGAAGGAAAGAAAGGAAAGAAAAAAATGGAGAGTAGAGTAGTATAAATTTTTAGCACAAACCTCCTCGGCCATGGCTGCTATGGAGAGGACTAAGGCAAGCCGATTCTTAAATAAGGAGGCGCTCGAGGGTGGGGGTCTGGTTTCATGCATTAGAGAGTCAATTGTGCTCGCCAATGTTAGTTTTTCCAGAAGTGGGTGTAATCCGGGCCAATCCCTTTCTTTGCATGTGCTGCCTCTTGTTCCTTTCACCTTCCCACATGGAGGGAATCAAAATCCTACCATAGCTACACTAAAAAATTTTAATTACATAGAAAATTCCAAAACTACACGGCATTAATTTAGTGCCTCTTTTAGTAATGTTGTTATTGTTGATTTTTCATTTAATTTGGTTGTCAAAATTTTAAAGAAAATTGAATTAATTTTTTTAAAATTAATCTTGTTATTAATTTTGAAAACTTGTACTCAACAAGTTGTTGACTTTAATTTTTTAAATTTAACTTTTAACTTTAGACCTCAATTTTTATTATTCAAAATTTGGCAACATAATACAACAATATTACTAAAAGGGCCCTTAGTTGTTGAAAATTTTTAAGGCCAATGAAACTATAATATTGTTTGAAAATTTTTAAATAAGTTAAGTTGTTTATGAATTACTTAAGCCTGACTTGAATTATATATAGTTAAAGTGAAATAGATTTTCACAAAGTGATTCTATAATTGTAATAGTGGATTTTTAACAGTAATTATGAGCTACCAATAGTTTCTTCTAATGACAAAGTAGCTTATATATGATATTACAAAGGAAGATTGATTGGTATATATTTTAATTTAATATATTATATAATATATTTATTAAAAAATTATTATTTTTTAATTTAAAATTAAAAGTGAATAAATTGAAAAATGCAATCATGTATATAGTTTATAGTATGTAAGAATTGACTAAATTAATTATATTTATATTGTATTTTACTAATTAAATTAAAACAAATATCTAAAAATATATTAAATCAAATGTGTACTAATTATTTTTCATTACAAAGTTGTTTTTTTAGGTGCTCCAATCCTACACTCTGAAAAATAGAAAAGAATTTGCCTGCACAATATAATTAACTTGAGCACCAACATTCAAAAAGAAATTTGTGGTGCACAATCTGAAGTTGCCAAAATAGCCACTGGCAGTTCCCTTCCACTTCCATCACAAAAGACAAGTTATATACAAAGGCGAGACAAAACTACTAAAAAAGAAGACTTGTATAGCTGGCAAGATAAGAATTACCAAACGCAGGACATAAAACTGGATAAGGCAATACAATTTAAAAGGTTTAAAGCGAACGAAGCTAAGGCTTTAAATTATTATAGCGGGTAGGTAATACATATATAATTAATGAATTAGCTTTTGTTGGTTAATTAAAAGCAAGTCATCTAAAGAGTGTTCCATAAAACTTAAAAATCACTTAGTTTAAAAGTAATTTTTTTTCTTGCAAATTTAAAACTTTGTTGTTAAAAAATTCAAAAATTAACTTTTAAAAAAGTTTTTAAACGAATTTTGAAAAAGTTTGGCTATGTAGTTTCTTCAAAATTTGCTTAAAAGTCATTTTAAAAATTTATTTTTAAATTTCTCTATAAGAAATTTTTAAATTTGTGAAAAAAAAAGTTTACTTTTAAATAAATTGCTTTTCAAGATTTGCCAGGCTTCCTTTTAATCAAGAACTCAAAAATTCATAAGAAGTTACCTTTTTCTCATTTTCGAACTAAGAAATTTCTATTCCAAAGATGTAAAGGAAAAGGAGTCCGGGCCAAGTTGAATAGGAAAGGAATTTATTTCTGTAATATTTTATAATTGTAACTCATTAATTAGCTAGGGCTCTCCGTCTTTTACTTAACTAGGGCATCAGTCACACATTGAGTGTGTATACATATATATATATATATATCAAGGCTTACTGAATGAAACGTTGTTTTGCTCTTTTACAAGTGCAAATTGTATCCTAATAAAAGAAAGATAGGCCCTTTTATTGCCATGACAGTTTATAATGGTGTTGTATTTCTTCTTCTTTTTTTTTTTTTCTTTTTTGGGCCAATATAATGGTGTTATATTAAATGAGCATGGATCTATTTATACATAACTTTAACATATTGTACTTATATAAAATTTTAACTATTCATCTTTTTACTTTTAATAGTTAAAATTATAATTGCAGCTAACTACCCAAGAGGGGAGTGAATTGGGTTCTATCAAGTTTTATTTAAAAACTTGTCTCTTTTTGTTTCAAAACTTAAATCAAATTTTCAACATATAAACTGTTGTGCAAAATAAACAAAGAATGATAAAGTGCAAAAAAATAAAAAAGAGAGAGAAGAGAATATTAAGTCGTGATTTACAGTGATTCCTCCAACCCGAAGTACATCCACTCCCCAAGTCTCTTTCCTCGAGAGTTCAATCCACTAAGATTCTTTTGCTTACGGGTGCAAGATTAAACTGGAAAAAACTCTTGCTTGCGGATTCAAGATTAAACCGTCACAAGTGAATCTCAACAACTCACTCAACCCCTTCAAGGATTATCCCAAGCCAAGAAGAATACAAAACCTTTGTAAGACAATTAACCCAAAAGCTCACAAGAAAAAGAAGAAAAAGATCCATAATGGGTTGTGTTTCAAACTTTGTTTTTCTGTCTTCGTCACCCAAGCCCATTCTATATTATTTTCCAGATCTGATTTTTGATGTTGTTTTAATAGTTGATTGGGAGCTCTTGCAATTAAAGCCTACTTTGCCCTTCAATGCCACCTCACAATAGCTCCAATCAGATTTCCACCTTTTTCTTCATCTTATAACGGACTTTGACTTGTCTTGGAATGTGCTTAGTCATTTGGATCCTTTTAAGGCCATTAAAACAAAACAGATAATTGAACTGTTAAAATTTTGTCTTCTAGAATTTTTCCTTCAAAGGCAAAAATATTGGTTCGAGCCGTTTTCAGAAAAAGAACTTTGGGATTGGTTCAAACCAATTCCAATTTATTCGAACCCAGAACTCTGAATAAGGAGGACATGGATTAATTCTAATAGTGGAGAAAGATTATAATCCTTGAATTAATTTTCCTACACATTTAGCACAAAAATATATTAATCTCTTCTGAATCATGGTTTTGAATCATGGTTTTAAATCATCATTAAAATACAAAGAGAACCTAACAAAAATTAATTTACATTTATTAATTAAAGAGATAATTATCTTTTTCATTTAAAAAATTATGATAAATTTCAACTATTAAAAGTGAAAAAATGAATTGTCAAAATTTTATATAAATATAATGTGTAAAATTTATGTGTAAATAGATATCTCCTTATATTAAATTGTTGTTTTCTCAAAAAAGAATAAAGACAAAACTCTATCCCACTTGAAGGAAGTTCCCAAACCGAGTTCGTTCTCAGTTTCTATATTTTAAGTTAAAAAAATGCTGCATCTTGGTGCAACTTGCTGCAACAATCCTTTAAAGCCATTGGATCAAAGGCTTTTCCATATATATATATATATATCTTTAAATTTAAAATTTTTTTATTTGAATTTATAAAATGTTAATTAAATAAAATAATGCCTTTGTGACTTTTAAAGAAGTTTTATGGATAAAAGAGAATGTGCA